TAAAAAAAAAAAAAAAAGGATGATTAGACAGAAACACAGAGATCATGGAGTCCATTTCTTTCATTATGAATTTGAAAAAATTAAAGCCAAGGAAGTTCAAGTAACTTTCTCATGGTTACATATCCTTGAAAAGGGCTACATCTGAAATCCAGTTCTTCTAAAATCCAGTCCAGTGTGCTCAGTTATTACAGAATGAAGTCCTTCACTTTTGTGCTTCCTTACCCCCTGTTATCTGGCAGCTGAGTACCTACCTACTCATTCATCATGCAAGATATACCTTAAATTCTTATTTCTTTATGGTATTTTCTGCATTCTGCTTTTGTTGGACTTTGTATTTCTATTATAGCAGTAGTAAGATTTTTCCCTGCATATTTGCTTATATGTCTGTCTCTCCTAGCAGACTGATGGTTTTGGTCCAGGAACTTACACATTTTAAAAAATCCCTATCATTTAGCACAGTTCTTGTCCTAATGTAGGTACTCAATAAACAGGTAACCTGAAAGAGTTGTAGTGAGAATGCTGCCAGATGAATGGGTATTCTTTAAACCGTTTCCTTTTTTTGAATTTCTTTAAAAAAAGGAATACTTATTGTCAGAAATTACTGAATCCTTCCTCTAAGTCATGTAGCATTCCCAGAGGATTCTTCTTAAAGGAAACAAATGTATCCTAGACCAAGTCTATGGGTATAACCATTTTTATTTTATTTATTTTTTTGAGGCAGGGTCTCATTCTGTCACTCTGGAGTGTAGTGGTGTGATCATGGCTCACTGCAGCCTTGACCTCTGGGCTCAAGTGATTCTCCCTTCTCAGCCTCCTGAGTAACTGGGACTACAGGTGCACTCCACCATGCCCAGCTAAGTTTTATATTTCTTGTAGAAATGAGGTTTCACCGTGTTGCTCAGGCTGGTCTTGAACTCCTGGACTGAAGCAGTCCTCCTGCCTCAGTTTCCCAAAGTGTTGAGATTATAGGCAAGAGCTGCCACACCTAGCCCGTCAGGAAGTGGAGGAGGGCATTTTTATGTTACATGTCTTTTGAGTAATAAATTCTGTTCTGTATTCCCGCTTTGTGTTGGCAGATGCAAATGAAACTGATGGAAATGAAAGATTTGGAAAATCATAATAATACGTTAAATTGGTGCAGTAGCCCACACAGCATTCTTGTAAATGGAGCTACAGATTATTGCAGCCTCAGCACCAGCAGCAGTGAAACAGCCAACCTTAATGAACATGCTGAAGGCCAGAGCAACCTAGAGTCTGAGCCCATACACCAGGAATCTCCAGTGAGTCTAATACTTTCGTAACTTTCATAATCAACTTCCTTGTGCAGATCCAAGTTTCATTGGCATTATATCTAATATAAATACATGGCCTTGCCTCATGTGAGAACAATTGAGATTTCCTTTTTAGAGGCAGAGAGTGAGTCCTAATCCAAACAATTGTACATTTTAACTAGTATAGTATAAAAAGATAACTTCAGCTGTTGTT